CCCCCACCAACTCCATTGCACCTCTCGGATCAGCCCCACAGGGCTGCAAGTGCACCTGCATGGGAATTTGGACAACTGAAATGCCGAGTCTGAAAATCACTCACCTTCTCACCACTTGCTGAAAATCAGCGGCTCTCTGGCCAAACTCGCTACCGGGATTTTAGTAGTGTGCCCTCTGCCTTTCGTTCTAGTGACGGACAGGATTGGTTTACAGGATTGGGGCTCTAAGTTTTGAGACAATCCTAGATAACCGTGGATCTAAGCAACAACAATTTCAATGGATAATCTGCTTATACAATCTTATACAGATATAAAGTATATATAATATGGTGCAATCAATGCGTGCCAATCAACTTCCCGAACATCATGCATTCCATGACTCTTGGACATGTCAATCTTTTCAGGCTGGTGATTTCAACTCACCATGATTTTTGGGGCGCTATCATCCGCCATTGTACAGGGGGGCATCCCTGTGCTAGGCAGTACGGGACGATCCCAGGAGTTGAGGAATTACCAGGGCTACCAAACAAAAAGGCCAGCTTTCCCATAAAAAATGAATCATATCCTCAAAACATCAACCCCTGCTAGAAAATGTGCCATGAATTTGGGTACATATCATACATATCCCAATCAAGTTGCTTCTATGGCACTTACCCATCCCCCAAGTTGTCAGTTCGAGCCTGCGAATTGAAAGCAGGGTCGATTTTCTGGTTGGGGGCATGGTCAGTCATTCCCTTTTTTTTTCTGTTTACCCTCTGGTAAACCAACATCACTATGGACAATAGCCATTTTAGAGCTGGGTAAATCAACGATTTGGCCATTTTCAATAGCTATATGTGAGTTCTGCGAAAAACACCATAGTTAATGAGTAAATCCAGGGTTTGAGGGTAAATCATCCTGAAAACACCATATTTAATGAGTAAATCATCACCATTTTCAGGGTTTGAGGGTAGCTTCCCTAATTCTTGCAGGTCATCCGGGTCATCCCGCAGGTTTGCCTCAGACCCTGCGGAAACCACGGCAGAAATGGCCGCGACGTGGCTGGGACTCTGGCTGCACCTGGGGTGAAAGGACGATGTTCACGCAGAAAGCATTGTATGATTGGCTGTCCGAATCTTTCCCCCTATCAATGGTCATTTCAGGAACAACATATGGCCTTATATGGTACGGTACCTCCATTTTAGGATCCTGAAATTCCCATTGACCCTATATCCCAATACTATATATCCACATGTATATAATAATATATATATATAAGTATATACACAATTATACATACACATGATATCCTTTATATCCTGATTAGATGCCCAAGGTGGTTGGTAGACTCCCATTTTTCTTCGTTCCGTCACCACTTTCACCACCTCAGCTCTGCACGGGCGGCTGGCACAGCTTGCTACCGCTGCTACCGAACGCCGTGGCACTGGTGCTACCAACCCTTTATCCTTGGAGCAGCTGGTGTCGATTGGATGGGAACATGAGGAAACCATAGGAAACCATGGGGCTGCAAAGTGTGACTCTACTTGTTTCATTGGATTTGGATGGATTTGCTTTAAGGGACAAGATTACCGTCCCATCGGAGTCCGGACGCAGCTCAGGTCATTGAACAGCAGCACCGTGTCCACCAAGCCCCGCTCGGGATGTTGGAAGGCCCTTGTGGATCCAACCCCGCTGGTGCTTCCAACCCCCAATTTATGGCGGATTTGGACACATACCAAATATTGAGCCAATCTTTAGTAATACTATCTATCTATATATATATATAGCCAGAACATATTATCTAAATGTATCTAATGCATTTTAATGCTATACTTATGTCATTTTCCCAATGTGTGTGAGAGAAATTTAGTGGTATCTGATATTTTTTTGACATATTCAAGCTTGTTTGGGATGATGATCCCAATGACTGTGATATTTTTCCGGAAGTTGAAGCCAGAAACTGGCATATGTTACAGTAACTGATGGTTTGCCAATATCGATGACATTTATTTATAATATCTATAATTGTTGCAAATTAGATTTGGCTTTGGCCATGGTTTTGAAAAGCATGGTGGAGCCCGTTGTTGATTTATTCAAGCATTGTGGGGATTAGTTGGAAAACCAATGAACACCATATGGAGGTTTCCTAAAATAGGGCTACCCCTACTCATCCATTAAAAAAAACGGATGATCCATTTAATCAACCATCAATTTTGGGGTAACCCCATGACTGTGGAAACCTTAGCCGTCCCAGGAGATCCAGGAGGCCCCCACCTGGGTAGCACACAAAGCACTCGAAAGCCACAGGCCGCCGCCACACGTTGCGCGGCAAAGTTGCTGGCAACCACCTGGGATGGCGCTGGAGTCCGCTGGAGGATGGGAAGAAATGGATAGAAATGGGATGATGAATGGCGCTGAATTTTAGAACTATAATATGCAGCTTGTAAGCAGGTATGTCCAGCATTAGTACTCACAGTCTCACAAAATCTCACAAAGCACTAATTTAATCTAATTTACAGCTTGAACAATTATTGGGGTGGATTCGTGACACAAGGACCCACACATGTGGAAGCAAAGCTAACATGTGCTGGGATTCAAACAACAACCATACCCTTGCGCAGTTGCCACTTCTGAGCAGCTCTTGCTACATTCATGGCAACAAGTACGCCAACAAAAAAACGGAGAACCCTTCTTTCTCACGGCAACAAAAAAAGGGATACACAATTTGAAAGATCCGCACTATCTTGCCATAAAACTAGCCGCATTTTCCAACACCAAACACATCGGGAATGGATGGAATACGCGCATTCTCCAGTCGAGGTGCCATGTTGATGCGCATGCCTTGGAAACCTGGCGGTTTCCAACTGGAGCTGGGTGAAATGACAAAACCGCTACCACGGTATTTGCTCAGATCATTTTCATAGGGAAAGCCCATGGGTTTTTTCCACATCTATGTGAGGTTTTTTTTCCATAAATTGGGATATTGGAAAAAAACTCACATAGATGTGGATATGATTGGAAATAATGATGTTTTTTTCCCATCTATGGATATTGATGATATTGGGGATTGGAGATGATTTCCAATAAGATGAAAATAGCATAAAATAGCTACATCTTGACGGGAATTCCCCACGTGATGATTTTTCACATGAGATTCAAAAAAAGGTGCACACGTGACTAATCTCATGAATGTTGGTGAGATCACTGCACTAAGGTGCCCATGATTTGCATGTGTAGATATGTGTAGTGTCATTCGCTATTGGTTGTAATTTCCCCCCATTGCTGCAGATAGAGCCATTGGTTCTCTCATCTCTCTCTCTCTCTATATCTTTCTCGTTTGTTGTCTTTCTTCAGGGGACAGTTTAACAGTTACCTCACTTGGAGAAACCTACAACGCATATTGGCATATATCATTTTAACCACACACACATATAATATATATTAATATATGATATACATCAATCTATGGAAGGCCTATGTAAACGAATGTTCCCCCCAACCTATGGCCTCGTTTCCTCGCTTCGGACACGGAGTGGTTGCCTCGGATGATGTAACCAGCTGGTTGCTGGGACTGTGGCGTTGCTATGTCCTTTTTGGCAAACATTCCACTTTTGATCACTTCTTGCTGGATGCATCTCAATCTTCAGACCAACGAACTCAGCAATTTAGAGACATGCTGAAAATAAGGATGTCTGTGTGCTTGGAAGACTGCGACATTCCCAGCGCCCCCTTGATATCCCTTGAGGGGTTCCTGATGGGTTCCAAATTACAGATTTGCTGGGACCATCCAGTAGGTGCAAGCTGAAGCAGCAAGTTCTTTTCTCTGCTCTGCTGGTGGGGGCCGTCAAACCAATACGGCCCGCAAAGCTTCTGAATGGACCTGACCATTGGGGAAAGGTCCCGAAATTCAATCAAATTGAGAGAAATGGCCAACAAAACTCATTTAACATCATGGAGGCGAAAAGAGCATCATGGACCCAGCGCAGGTTTGTGGATTACCTATACCTACCTATGCATATATATATAATATGTAAAATATTCATTCATTGTATCCCAATTTTGACGGCTTCCAATGCGTAGTTTTGTTCATGATCAGCCAGCCGCAAAAAATAGGAAGTCATGGAAGATAATCATCACAAAATTGGATTCGTAGGATTCAAAGGCCTTCATGGGCTTGGATTGTCCCAGGGGTCATAAAAAAGGGGGCCAAAAAGAAGAACAACAACTTTTTTTCCAGCAATGTGGGTTTTGCCCAATCATAAACCATCCCAATCATATCGCTGTTAGATGGGTTGTATCATCCCTCAACATCTGAATTTCTACAGTAAATATCACATTGATTCACTGATAATATCCCAGTACTATCTCAATATCATCCCCAAATGCTGTATTAATTATTGGTTTTACCCTCTGGTTATGTCCAAATAGCTATTGAAAATGGCCATTTATAGTTGATTTACCCACTAAAAATCGTGATTTTCAACAGCTATGTTAGTTTACCAGAGGGTAACCCATTATGGTACTTGGAATTTCCCCATGATCGCGCCACCTCCATCTCCATCGGCCGTGCAGCAATGCACTTGGCGGCCACTTGGCACTCCGCGCATTCCTAGGAGGCCAGATTTTGAAAATGACGCCTGTAGTCTGCTACAAAAAAATAGACAAGTACTGTGTCACTATTTTGGGAATGGGATGTAATAGGTTTCTGATGGTTTCTGATGTTTGTTTGGGGGGTATGCCCGGAAATTGCATCACTGATGGTTTTTGCACTGAAGAAAATATGAGCCAATTGGGATCATGATCCTAGGTAGGATTGAACACCAAACGTAAGTTTTTCAACCACAGTCTGAGGCCAGTATCGGCATCGCTATGGCCTTGGGGTATCTTGGAATTGCTGCATTTGAATGGGGAAATGATGACCACTTACCATTGAATCCCAATGATTTATGTATCATTTGAATCATGACCAACCATGGGATCTCTATTTGCATACCACATTGTTTGGAGAACACGCACAGTTGAGACGACTGGGTTTTTCGATGTCTGATTCCTCCATCATATTTCCATCACCCAGACATTGTTTAATGAAAGTAATGTTTATCTTTTTAAATTTTAAATAAATCCAAATAAATAAATAAATAAATATATATATAAATATATATATATATTATCAATATATATATATATTATCAATATATATTTATATATATACATACATATACATATAAACACATACATAAATATAAATAAAAAACATATACCTAAAAAAATAAATGAATAAATGAATACATAAATAAAACTCTATATATATAATATAACTATATATAATAGATATTTATGTCCAACCCATACCATTCGGCCACCTCACCCGGCAATGGAACATCCCCCATTGGTTGCAGATGAGGATTTCCCACTGGAGGATTTCCCACTGGATGCGCCATGGTAACCCCGCACGCCAACATCTCATGGTTTATCATCATAATTCCCTAAGACAAATGCCGTTTTGTGGGTATCCTCCATTTTCACCCCAAGCCACATCATTTTGTTGGTTGTGATGTACCATTGTATCCTCATGATATCCCTATTTTAGTTGGATAAACCATGATAAACCCATTGAATCCCCATTGATTTTTACCAGAAGGTAGCTACTTGGAGGGTTATCCCACTTAGTAAGTGGTTATATAATAACCCTGGTTAGTAAGTCCCCCATTCAGTGGGTTTTCCCATACATATATATATTATTATGAATGGGTGCACTAACTATGGTCATTATCCACTTACGATTCGTGGAATGATCCAAATATATAGTCTGACATCCAGCTGTCAAGTCTCAGTGATGGCTTCATATTCGCCTCGCGTGGGAGGAGGTGGGTTCTCCTGTCGGTTGGTCAGGGATCAGACCAGGGGTTTGCTTCCAGGTTTTTTTCAATTACAGAGCTGGAAAACCCACCTGCCATGGATAGATACTGTAACATTACAAACGGGAAACGGTTGGTTTTCCATCTCATTTTGTGAATTTAGCAGTTGTTCAACCTCTGGAGAAACGGATTGAAAGAAGCGGAAGCGGCAAACACCGATGGTTTGTTGTCCACAAATATCAAGAACTGATGGATGTTCATTGTGTTTTCCACTTACTGATATGTTGCACAAAGCGGTGGCTTCAGGGCTCAAACTCTGACCTATTGAACGCAAACACTTTGTCCAAACGCCAGATACAATGTTTTTTTTGTTTTTTTATTGTTGCTCCATGAGAATGGAACAAAAATGAACAACACATGTGTGCTGAAGCAAGGCTCTCTTTTTAGCGTGCTATAGTTGTTATGTGATGTTATGCGTGCGTGTGTTGTCAACAGCGCGGAAGGGACTCATATCACCAAATGCTTAGAGGAAGACACTGGGATGGCATTGACCATCACAGGGTGGCAAACCTTTCCAATAGAAACTGTCAAAACCTTTCTTTCCAACAAGCACCAGCTCAATTTCAGGTGGAATCCCCGCTATTCGGCTATGCGCACATCTCACAATCTCATACAATCTCCGTATCCGAAAAAGAGTTCTTTTTATGTGTATGGGAATTGACGGGCTTCTTGGAGAAGAAAACATGAAATACTGAAATACACATTTTAAGAACCAAAGCTGAGGTAAACCTGTCCTTATTGAAGATTTCGTAGAAGCCTCCAAACAGGTCGAGCATTTTCTGCTGATCCTTCACGAAGAAACTGCAACTGATGGCGTCCTGCAACATGACAGTTGGCGATGGAACTCGGCAACAACGCGCAGCTAATGTCAACATGTTTGCGTCATCTTCTCCGGCCCCAAAGGAAGCTCTTGAAAAAACAATTCCCCATCGGCTGCCAACCTTTATGGACACTTCACTGCACACTTGATAAACAAAGGTTTATATCAAGCATTTATCGTACCCTCTGGTAATTTAACGGGCAGGACTGAGGGTTGTCCCGGAATGGTCGTATGAACGTCAGTGGGAGGCTCATTTCTCTGCGCAGGTGCAGTGTTTTATGACTCTGGTACATCTGTGAGTTAGGGTGGTCTAAGACAAATTTTTGGAAAAATCAGTCAGAAAAGTGAACCCTCTGCGGACTTCACGCGTTTCGGCCATTTCCACTTTTTCAATCTTTTCGACTTTTTTGGCGAGTCCGGATTTTATAACTTATGTAAACCCTAAATGAAACACCTAATAGAAGTATGCGTATATGTTCCATGGGGCCGGGGGATTTTATAACTTATTTTATACCCTATATGAAACCCCTATAATAGAGGTATGCGTAAATGTTCCATGGGGCCGGGAGATTATGACAAGGAAATGTTATGACAAGAAAATCCCCTGGCACTGGAATGATGGAACCAATGGGTTGCTAGCTCAGCTCTCGGGTATGGCCCGGAGGGCCATACCCTCGTAGGACGAGGAAGGGACAACCCCTCGTCCTGTGGGTAATTTAACATAGCTATTAAACATGGTCATTTATAGTTGATTTACCCTTAAAAAATGGTGATTTTCCATAGTTATGTTAGTTTACCAGAGGGTAATATTGGGAATGGTGTGTGTTCTCGGCATGGGCTTTACCACATGAACCATGAATAAACCGAACCAGTGACGACATCGCCCCGAAGCGCATGGGTCATTGAGGGTGACGTTGGCATATTTGAAGAGCTTTCCCAAGGATTCTAGCGCATTGACACCTTGGGCGGAACTCAGGGTAATGTTAGCAAAGCAGTAGTAAACCATCTCTAAATTTGCCATAACTGGGTTGCATAAATCATCATTATAATAATAATAAAATAATAATAATGATGATAATAAATATATATATATATATAAAATGCATACATATATATATATAGTTGTATATATATAATATATATATATATATTATATACATTTATGGGCGGTTGATTATTGTTTTGCAGACAATCCAAATGCCAAAGGTAGCTTGCCCTTCAAGCATGTCTCAAACAAGACGGACCTAAGGGACGCATCCTATGGACATGGGCATGAAATCCGTTGCACGACATCTGCATCTTGCCAAGCTTCAATGTCATCTCTTGGGGATAAACATCAATAGGTTGGTCGGCTTAACTCATCGCAGCAACATTCCGAAACTTAAATCATGTTTTCGGCAGCAGTGAAAAACATACAACCACCAACTGGAAAATGCATATCTCCAAGTGGACACATCTATCTAGCAGCGCCATACATGTACTGACATACCCACACACACACACACAAACACATTTATATATGATTCGACTATTCGAACACTATTCAAATTAATATGCTGAACGTATCAACCAATTATATATAAAACATTATAAAACCATAAAAAGTCCAACGGCAATTCAAATTCACCAACCAAGCAGCCAGTGCTGTTTCTGTCAAGTTGAGCAGAAGCAAAAGCGAAACCTCAAATCCATGGTTGATACATGAGCAGCCTCCATCGTATAGAACCACCCCAAAAGAAAGAGAAAAGTATAATCCCAATCCTAATAAAATAGTGCAAGGTAATGGTAAATTGTTTCCTTTTTTTTCGGATTATTTCATATTGTGACTGGTTGTGTCGCTTGGTCGTGATACCATATGGAGATTTGAGAATTCCCCTTCAAGTAAGTGCAAATGAGCCATAGCGGCAGAAGCTGCCTTTGCTCCAATGTGGTTGGGTGCACACTTGTAGCCCCCCAGACAGATTCCTTCCAGAAAATGTCCCAGGTTAATCCATTTGGGGATTTTGAAGATCACAATCAGGTGGTAGATAGAGATGGTTGATGCAAACATATGCGAATGATCCTCCAATGGCCCAGCCATGTTTCAAACATGTCACCATCCGCCCACTAAAGGGACCATCATCCTTTCAAATGCCGAGAGCGAAGTTATCTTAAGCTGCTGGGAAGTGCCAAGGCAACTGGGCCCATACATCTCAATCATCTCATGTTTGAAACACTCAAAGAGTTCCAGCCCATCCCGTCAGCGTTAAGGTCAGAAGTGCCAGCAAGTCGCTATCCGTTAAAACCACCTTCCCATCCGTGGTGTCGACCGACCTGCCCATCGGTCCCATCGTCCCAGGGAGACGGCAAAGTCGATGCCGAAACTATATGAGAAATTGCAAATCGTTAGAATTTTCAGGAAAAACCATGGCAAATTGATTACCCTCCAGTAAATAAACATAGACCCTGGCAGTCATCGGGGTTGGAAGACTAGTTTCCATTAATTTTTTTTCGTGATTTTCAGGGTCAAGAAGTTTATTTACCAGAGGGTACCATGTTCCAAATCGTTCCAATTCACCCATGGAAAATCGACAAATCGTTGGGATTTTAGCCATGGCAAAACTCCATGGAATGTCTCCCCAGTCTGCAACCCCAACGACTTTACATGGCGTGATCTTGTACCCCTTCTGTTCACATCAAAATAGCTGGGTTAAAATGGATGTGAATAACCCCCTAAAAATGCTATTTAATAGGTATTGATCCATACCCAGTTCAACTTCGAGGAATGCAATTCTTTCCATGGAACTATACCTATAGTAATGTGTAGTCAAGCCATCCTGAGACATGACAACTCCGCTATGTTGGGAGATTTCACTCTGCAATATCACTATGAACTTGGGCAAATTGCCATAATCCCATTCCATTGCTGTTTTAGGGCAGGAAATTCTATCAATTTCTCCTGGTGAGGTCAGTCGCAGCTACATGAGCTGGCTTCTACTGAAGCCTCTTCACTGCCAGGTCTTCAAGAGCTCTGGAACAATTTATCCTTTACCCTCTGGTAATTTAACATAGCTATAGAAAATCACCGTTCTTAATAGGTATGTAATATAAACCATCTATAAATGGACCATTTTCCATAGCTTTTTGTATGTTTACCAGGCCGGGTCATCTTCAATCAAAGTAGGCCATTTTCCGGTGGTGGTTGAATCCCTTTCCGACAAAATATCCCGGGATCTTTGTTGGTTCCAACGTGCGCCATTCTGGTTAATGACCTGGCAAATGGATTACCCTCTGGTAATTCAACGTAGCTATTGAAAATGGCCATTTATAGTGGATTTTCCCATTAAAAATGGTGATTTTCCATAGTTATGTTAGTTTACCAGAGGATATCATGGATTTATTTTTTAAAAAAACAGACATCCGAGAAACTCTGGCGTAGTATTTCCTGCATTTTTGGGTTTTCATTGAGGATAGTCTGCTATTGGAAATGAAGCCAGCCGGAAAGAAATGGAATGCTATGTGGACCCAAGATATCAAAACCAAATCAGGATGAAATATGATAAAATCAGGTTGTCTGAGTGGGTTACCAATACGTGGCTGATCTTGGATACCATGTATCACCATGTGCAGTATCTATTTTTTGCTGTTACACCTGGTTAGAAAATATTCCGAATTCCCTTTTAATGACCGCCAAAAGCACTAAACTTACTCAACCACCCTCCTAGATATAGAAAATCTACCATTTGTAGATCATTTTCCAAGGGAAAGGGTTTTCCGTGGTTTAAAAAACGTGTCTTCCACATGGCTACCCATCGACCACCTCAGGCGCGAGTCATCCTCGGCGGCCGTGCAGCGTAGCCGCAGCGAGCGGTTGGCCAAACCAGTAGCCTTTGGCCCAGGTGTGGCGAGAGGATCATCCCAGCATCGACTGGAGTGATGTGTTCATGGGATCTCCAACATAGGATATCACAGGATACAAACAAAATGTTTGATAACATCGTTAATGGGATATATATATATATACATATGTGATACGTATATGGATATGTTAATCTGTGTTAATCTATGCTAATATGTGAATTTGTTAAAAAATGTTAAAATATCAATGATGATCCAACATTTTAATGTCAATGGACATGTGAGATGCCAATGGGATGTGATATGTATCAACATCCAATCTGTTAGTATCAACATGATCAACATATATCAACATTGTAATCCCATAAAGTATAATGATATCCTTAATTCTTGGAGTAGTTTTTGTGTGAAACATGCCAAATTGTTTGGGTGGAACTCCAGCTCCGGGAAGTTTCCTGCCTGGACGATGGTCAAGGATGGCTGGATGAAGCCTTTCATGCCCGTCACCTAGCGTCGGGATGCGTCGGGCAAAAGGCAGCCATCTCTTTGTTAGCCAAGTGGCCCCGGCTTAAGGGATGAACTTCAGAACAAAAACCCTTTGAAACATGGGTCATTAAATGTCCCCATTGAACATCACCCAACCATTAGGATCCATTAGGTATATTAGGTCTATAATGGCTACTATTTTTGGTGATGTCCAATATACCCAAAATGGGACAGTTACCATCCCCAGTGGAATTCCATCTGTAACTGTCTGTAGCCCTAAAAAGAAGGTTAGTTGGATGCGAATTACATCTTGCCAATCCATGAATTCCATATGCCAGCTTCCCATATCACCAATCTGACGCATTCCAATTAAAGGATATCAATTAACCTACCAAACAGCGGAACACCTTGCTGAACTTGCATGTTCTTCCCATAATTTCCTCCACCTAGGAATATATATATATATATATGATATCTGATATATGTATTATTTCATGTTTAACATGATTCTCCAACTATTTCTTTGCCATAGATATCGCCAAAACATGCCAAAACAATATCACCATCTTTCGCCCACATCGACCCCGTCGACCGCGCCTCGACGATGGCTTTCCGCACCGCCTGGGCGTCTTGGATCGATGCCAGGTAGGCAGTGCAGTCCACCAGGACGCTGCTGCGCAGCATGCGATTCACGATGTTTCGCCTGTCACAGCAAGTTCTGAAAACATGTTTGTTTTGTTTTTGGAAAATCAAACGTCAGGGAAACAAATCAGGTTTGTGGGATAGACATGATTGGATATGGTTTATATATATATATATATCCCCGTTTCGGATCATTTCGGTGGGTTTGATAGCTAATAGGGATGCTTGTGGAGTTTTGGGTCGAAAAAATGGTAAGTTTTGGATGCACTAAGCAGGGGGAGTTGTGCAACAAGAAATCGAGAAATCACTCCAAATATCTTGCAGGGGATGGATGCAAATGGCCACGAAATCATAAATGCAAAGTTGCAAAGCATGAAGATAGTGAGGCCTCCTATGAATGATGAAATTGCTACACAACATGAAATCACTTACACTGTCCCATCAGAAGATTTTGACAATTCTTGATTTGGGGAAGCAATTTCAGACTTTGTTGATGCCACATTTCCCCAAAAAACATCTCCGAAATACCAGAGTTGTGGTAGTAAAGCTGAGCCCATTGTTTTGTGCTTCCTAGTTTATGGTTGTGGGACCTTGTGGGATGGTTTTAAATCATCACTGTTCAACTGGTGGTTGGTGGAAGCATCGATTCGAAGAGTCTAACCCCTTTGGGCAATACAACCATCCGACCCTTCAAAAATAGCTGCATGAATTTGAAAGAACGTGCAAAGCCACCCACACATGAAACTGTCTGTGAGCCCAAATCCTTCGGCCATTTGAGAGTGTTCAAAACCTTCTGTCGTCCCTGGTTGCTAGTGGCTGGTTGCTACGATTACCCATAATGGATTATGATAATCCCCACTTCTTTGGGAAGTACAACCCGCTATAATTCATCAACCAACAGGGGTATTGAACACTGCTAATTTGCTGCAGCTCGGAAGGCCCATGTCGCAACCCACCTTGGCCCCAGCATGCTCCAGCCAAGCGACGTCTCCTCATAAGCGCCTGAGATAGTGCCCGGTGCCTCTGCACCCTCGTAGAAGGTCAAACCTACGATTCTTTGGAGGATTCGCAATGGCTAAGGCCCAGAAATGGACACAGCAACAGGCTTTTTGTTCAACTAGCCATCGTTGGTACAGTATCAAAGCAACTTTTTGTTCAACAACAATATATCAAATTCTTGGGATTGGAATCAATGAAACTCAAAACCATATTCCAATATATCCCAATGATCCAGTGGGGAAATAGGGGACGAAACGGACCGAAAAGGTGTATGGTATGGGGCGTTTCATCATCCAACCCAAGGCAGGTGGACATGCGTGCCTGAAATGCAGTTGAATCGGCGATGAAGAACTCAAGAAAAGTAGATCCAATTGTTCACAACTAATGTCAAGTGAGGATTAATAATCCCCTCCCGATTAATCAACCACCATTGCCCCAAAAAAAAAAAGTAATTTAAAAACAGGTGGTCCCCCGAGATTAATAAACCGGTGGGCCTACCCCCGATTAATCAACCACCAGTGCTGAAATCCAATTTTTTATCCAACATTTTTTATTTCCAATTCTATTTATTTCCAATTGTTTTTTTACCTTTTTTTTAATCATCATTGTTATACTTCAGGTTTAAGTTGATCATTGAAAATTTCAAAAAAACAACTATTCCCCAAATGATCGATTTCTAATTAAAATCTTTATAAAAAACATCAGTTTGGATAGCTCCCAAAGGGTACCCCCCATGAGCCCATATCCCCCATTAATAATAACCATGGTTTGCCCCTGATTAATCAACCACCTTTCTGATCCATGAAATTTTAACAAATCCAATGGAATTTTATTAAGATCTAATTGACGTAAGCCATATCCAAAGTTTTATGGTTCAGAATTTTATGGTTCAGGGCCGTTTATTTACGGGTGGTTCAGAAGGTACCTCCTACCTTCTAGGGGGGGGGGGTTTATTAATCCGGTGTTGGCATTAGGCAACATGAAAATCCATGAGGAAACTCTGATTAGTTTGATTATCCTACGGTATCCAAACGGCCCTCCTCCCGCCTCTGGCAGATACCCCATAAAGGCCATTCTTCCTGTACCGACGTGGAGAGTGACCACGGCCAAAGTACCACATGAATCCATGCTGTGAGATGCGAAACCCATAGAACAACTTCAGCACTCAGCCCTCCAAGTGGGATCACCATCGCTCCAAGCGCGCCTCACAGTGCGCCTTTTGCTACCACCATCAGGGATGTTGGCCACGCACATGATGGAGTTGTACACGAACTGTGGGCGTTGCCAGCTGGGAATAGCTGTGGGATGTGGCTGAGTTGACCACTCCAATTTTCTTCGACCAGTGTTTTTGTTCCAACTTTCTCCCAGAAGAATCTGGATATATATTGATGTTCCTATGGCTCAAGTCTCCAACAAATCTGCTTCCATGTTGGTTGCCTTCCGGCAACCGACCCAGCGGGCTGGGGCCTGATACTCACCGGGCATCTCAACCACCTGGGGGATGGTGATGGATCATGGTGGCGACACGTGAGCGATGGTGGCGATGAATAGCAAGAATAGGATGCATGGGATGAATAGGATGAAAAGGATGAAACGTGTAAACAAGCTATAGGTTGGATTACGGGCTGGAGCATGTGGTTCAGAGCATCCAAGGTCCAATGATAAAACTCGAGCAATCCTTTTCCGCTAAAATATATCCAATAGTAAACCATTGTTTCCAGGGAGGTTTTTACTATTGGGGTGAAGGGACTATATGTGAAACCCACCAGCCAACTAGCCAAAGGATCCCTGCAGTCCAGTGACTGTGAACGCGGGAGGCGATGCCTGAACTTCTGCTGGAAAGGCGGACCTGAGCCATCAAATCCACACAAACACTCTCTCGCAGTCTCTCTGGGCACAAGTCAACATCTACAGTATATATATATATATATATACAAGACCTAGGGAGCACCAGATTTTGCCCACCTATCTGATGGTAAACCATAGTATGTTTAGTAAACCGTGCCATTCTGAGGCGCTCGTTTGATCTTCGAAGAACCACTAGAGTGCTATAGTAGCCACAGCTACTAAGTAGCGTTACAATATCGCTATTTGATCACTTTAAAAATTGTTCCAGTCCCAAAATATCCGGAATACCCTCTGGTAATTTAACGTAGCTATTGAAAATGGCCATTTATAGTGGATTTACCCATTGAAAATGGTGATTTTCAATAGTTATGTTAGTTTACCAGAGGGTAATTCCAAAATCTTGGACGATGATCGCTTCAAAAAATGCCATCGGGACGACTGACTTTGATGCGCCCAAGCCACATCAGTGCGGCCTTCACGGCATCGGCGTGGCCCCTGGGGGCGTTGACGAAACAATCCACCTGGGCTGCTGGGCTTTTCCGGTAAAATCATGGCAGGAATTGGCAGGATGTCAAGGGTTGGAAAATGTGCTGGAAGTTTTTTGGAGACAGGAAAAGAGAAGAGGATACAACAGGTATTTCCCCATCGAGGATAAGACAATCGCAGCTCCGAGGGTTATATATATATAATTATATATATATATATAATTATCCTGTGAAGAAGAATCTTTTCAAGCGCCAAGAGAATTGTCCATCTTCAATGAGGGGGTCCGCCCAAACGGGGCCTCCTAAAGGTACCTGCAAAAGGAAGGTCTGAAACACCACCAATCCATCTTCACGGCTTGTTGAGCCCTGCCATTTCCTTGGGGTTCCCTCTAAATGCTTTTCTCGAAAACTCGGGACCCCGAAATTCCAATTGTGCATCATCACTTTTCTGCAAGAACAACGGCAATGGTTTTGGGGCATCCCGTATTCTTGAGGCAAACCCATGATACATGTTTGGTTGTATATATATATATATTTATATTTATATAATTACACACACATATTTATATATTATGTGTATATATATATACATATTATAGATCCCACTATCTCATCATAAAATTGTGTTTTTCCATGTCTTCTTCTGCCCCGCCTACCAGGCCTTCCTTATGGGCTAGATATGTAGATCCATGATGGTCCCTTTGGGAAAATCACGGAAATCCATGGGCCAGGCGACCAGGTCGGACAAGTTGGCACCAGCCGCCAAGGCGATGTCGCGCACATCCCAGGTCTCTTGAAGTGCTGTCTTTTGCAGCCTTGCCACTGTGCGGCCAAGGATGGACTGGATGTTTTTTCTTCGTTTTTCGGGGGGATTGTTTGCTGGATATGTTCTAGACATCTTTCTGGGTATTTGGATATGTTCTGTTTTTTTTTCTTAATAGCTTTTAGATATACTGTTCACCCAAGGGTATCTCTGGCAATCCAAAACGGCACTGCATCCATCCCATGGATCTCCGAGGCTCGTCTCGTTGACCTCCATCATGGCAGTCATGTAAACCAAGCCATGGGAAATGATGCCAACACTTTCCTGGGGCCGCACCAGGAGGTCATGGGTCCCTGAAAATGGCCACATTGACCAACAAATTTGGGGCTACAGTTTTTTTTGGGCAGGCATTTTTTACTCCTGATTTGTTTATCCCTCAACGGATCAGAATGGGATTTGACCAACAAAAGGGCATTGACTGTTGATAACTGATGGTTACAGTACGTATGGCAGGTAACCATCCCCCCAACTAACATCTTGACTCTCCCATGAGCTGGGGGCTGAAGATAATTCTTGCCGAAAAATCTGGTGCTATTCCCAGTTGAGGGAATGGCATGTTTACTAGCACTCCTGGGGATATGTGTTCCATGTTGACCCTGAAAATTCTGCATGTCAAGGGGTGCATATCATTTTTGTTTCAGCCATATCCATATTCCCCAAATGCTGGATGATGCTGGATGAACCGATAGGGAAAATACCAATTCCCCTTCAGTTGGCCTGATGATTTTCCGCAATATGAGAAAACTTGACAGAACAATACAGAACAATGGAGATTCTACCAGCAGAAATTCGATGAATACCCTTCTGTTTGACCCTTACAATGGGTGCATTTCACCAACTAAGAGGTATTGGGTGTAAACCACTTGTTTTGTGGAGATATAATGGGAGTATCACCAACAATCCATGCGGAAAGAGTGGTGTCCTCAAATGCGAAAATGGATGGGTACTACACAGTTGGAGACAGCTCGAGTCCTCATTCCAAGCAGCTGCCGTCTTCTCACTGCCCGCTGGCCACCACGGTGTGTGCACAACCTGCTGGAGCAGCTGCTTCCTCCTACTCTCTAAGGTAACCTCCACAAGGAGATCAGTTGACTGCAGTGCCTTCTTGATGATGTCTCCACTATGAGCAGCTGACGCTTGCCATACCAGGACCTGTGGAAAGGTGGGCCTTCCTGGGGGTGTTGATGGGGGCAGCATCTAAAAAAGGACTCAGGGCAGACTGTATGTGTCAGCAATGCCGTCATTGAGGTTGAGAGATTTGAAAGGGCCCAAAACAGGTTGGATCCATTCGGGGGACTCACACGCTGTCAAACACTTGTCAAAGACCCACCCTTTGACTGGAACATGGGCTGCGTAACTTAAGAGGGATTGACAGTGCTCTTGTGTTTCCAACACCTCTCCAAGCATCGGTTGAAAGCATATTCCCAGTCAACTAATAGAGGCGTGAAATCAAATGCATGAATGATAATCCATTCCCCCTAATATTTAAGCCCACCACGGAAAACATGGCTCAGTATTCTCTCTCTCTCTCTCTCTCTTCCTCCCTCCCTCCATCGCCGTCTCATGGTTCAGTACTGGATCTATTCATTCAGGGGCCCCTTATTGAGGGGGTTAGGGGGAATAGGATTATAAACTGAGATAGAACCTCAGGCACAGCGCACATGAGGCAACCCTAAAAAACGTCCCCGATCTGAGCTGAAGACCAGCCCCAAAGTCTGCCACATGCCAAGCGCACCTGCCAGAGTGGCACCAACAAAAACCCAGTGCATAGTGCAATAATGAACTGAACAATACACCAGGTATCAGGATCCTTCAGGATCCATAAATAGGAATATTCTACCTTTTTGCAGCTCTACACGGCTGAGGCTCTTATGGCAGTGAATCATATTCCTTGCAACCGCTAAATTGCTAATACTTATGCAAAATACTAGGCGCACAGATTTGGCTTTTGCCGCATTCGCATGCATTTGCCATCGTGTGCATGTATATATATATATATATAATATGATAATATAACTTGCATAGGGTAGGCGACTGAAATGCAGGAGCAAGTGTGTATCTGGCACGTGCCCCTGGAACACCAGGACCAGCTGGCAAGGAAGTTTCGGGATATGAGGCTTACAATTAAGTTTGTGTTGATTCAGAAGGGTATCACCAGCTTTGTAACCCCATCACTTGGGATATGTTTATGCATGATAATTAAACCACTCCGAATACAATGCGAATATGCTTATACTTTTGCAACTGTGGTTGTGGTTTCCCATGCCCAGCCCTTTCTGAGACACACACCTGCCATGCTGCGTCCGGTGGTTGCTAGAAATTACTGCAGAGGATCGAAGTGTTTATATAAATGTGAGCTGTTTCTCCACGAATGGATGACGTTTGGAAAATTGTTTTCTGTCGCTGTGTCCAACATGCAATGTTGGGTGTTCACCTGAGAATGCCTGAATTTCCTTGAGCCAACCTCGCGTCTGAAGCTTGCAGATGGCCACAATCGATGAGGAGAAAGCGCAAGTTTTTCTTTGAATTGGTGGGATCTCTTGGGCGATCAACTGACCCCAAAGTTGACCCCAAAGTTGGGCTTTTTCGTGAAACAGGGAGTGTCTGAAACAGGTCCCCAAAAAAACCACGGTCCGAATCCGGGCCGACTCCGAGTGACACAAGGCCTTTCCATAGCCCCTTCCGCGTACATCCGGATGCACCTCAGATAATCAGCTTCACCCAACCTGCTTGGGATGATTATATATCCCCGCCAAAAAAATGTTCCAAACCACCAACCAGATCAACCAGCAACATCTTCCAAAATGTCCAAACTCAGTTTTTGGATCTTTTTGGGGCTTCATGCTGGGCAGAAGTAATTCAGCTGGTGGTTTCACATGTTACCCACGCCAAAACTCGCCAGTTATGTCAAGGCCACATCTTGCTGACAAAAGCCCATTGCGGCTGCATCGGTTGACTCACCATCTTGGAAAACTGCACAACTTTGCATTTCTTTTATCTCCATGGAATTGTAGTTGAGCCCTCGTTGTTTGTTCAATCCTCATCATTTCCATGGTTTCTCCTCCAATTCTCGAGTCATCTTAGATGCCAACCGGACAAAAATCGATAGTTCAGTTTGGCAGAGTAATTCATAGTACCCCATTAGAATGGTATAACATGGTATAAACATCAAATAGGGTATAAACATGTTATACCATTCTAATGGGGTACTAACATATTTTTATGACATAAGATTGTCAGAAAATCATCAAAAAACCAGGACGTCACTACCACCATGACCATCCGACCCTGCCGCCGTTCACCGCGTCACCATATAGAGGCCATGTGCAATGTGACTCCCACGGCCATGAGCCGCGGGGTGAAGGACCTGAGGGTGAATGATCATCCTCCATTTCCATCTGAAAGGGTATACTGGTACAACCATGGTATAACCATGGTATAACCATGCTATAACCATGGTATAACATGGTATAACCATGTATAACTGTAAAACCATTGTTCCCATCATGTTTTTTTTTGGGGCGACTTTGAAACAGGAATCCGGAATCATGGCCCATTCAAGGGGCAGTGCAGAATGATGATGGCACAATCGAATCTTCAGGCCTGCTTCAGAATGATGGTCCCCCAACGGACGAAACACTAATACTTGAAAGATGGTTAGAACATGTTAAAACCATGGTCGTGGATTTGGAATGTGGCTAATCTGCGGCTTCAAAGTAAACATCTTCAACTTCAAGGGCGATTCAAGGGGAGTTCAGACTCCAACCTGTGGATAGCACCATCCATGAGTATTGTTGGCTGTATCGGCTACATCCATCTACATCCACCTACATCCCATTATGTACCTTATTTTGATAGATCTAACAGTTACCCTCTGGTAAACGTTTACATAACTATGGAAAGATCCACCATTTTTCATGGGAAAATCCACTATTTCTATGGCCATTTTCAATAGCTTTTTGTATGTTTACCAGAGGGTATCACCAGCCCAGTCCTTGACCTTCCCCAATTCATAGTGGATTTATAGTTGGAAACAACCCAGTTGCTATTGAGGAAAATAACTATTTTTTTCATGTTGGTTTTCCCAGTTGCCAACAACCTCCAGCAGATCCTCCAGTTGCGCCAAGCGTTTGTGCGCTTCGAGTCCAAAATGCGTAGACACCAAGGATTCCACCATTGATGCGGCCAGGTGCCTGGTCCACTGGTGGCCCCAGCAACGCTACGGGAGGGCCGTGGAAAACCATAGGAAAACCATAGGAAAATGGTGGTTAGTAGTGGTTAATAGTGGTTAATGATGGTTAATCATTGATTAATAATGTCTGGTTGGTGGTTGACCTACCCCTCTGAAAAATCATGGAGTTCGGAAAAATGGGAAGGATGACAACCCACAAAAAGGATGGAACAATGTTATCCAAATGTTCCAAACCACCAACCAGTAAAGTCATATTAAAGTAATTAAATGCCTTCGAAGCATGGAAATCTGCTGTTTCGCGAATGATGATGAATGATGTGGGTGAGTATGAGACTTTGGGAGGTGCACTCTTGCGAGGAAGATTTCACCATCTGTGCAACGTGTCGTGGTCCTAAACTGGAGAACGAAACCATTTTCGAGATGATTCCCTGACAAAAAATGCTGAGGTCGACCTGTCCAAAACAAAACTAACAAACTTGTAGGGGCATAAAACCAATCATAGCGGGCATGTAATGGGACATACACTATAGATGTAGTAACCAAGTATGTGATTCGTTGGTTCGTCGGCACAACTCATGGGATACATCAAACTTGCGGTGTCAATGAGCAACATTGGATTTTGCGTGAACCTCTTTCCAGAGAAAACCACACCCCTAGAAACACTGGTGTACTATAAGTTTACTGGATGTAGCCATTTTGGGGCACCAAAACGCCAAAATTGATAGTTACTAGGAAGGGATGAAATGGAGGGTTTTAATGGGAAAACCATAGGAAAACCATAGGAAAATGGAGGTTTCAACCTCAGCGAAGCCCAACATTTCATCGGATGGCCTCCAACACGAAAGTTTCAGCATGCTCAGAGGCCGCTGGGAGCCATTGGGACCCAAGCTCCTGGCACCCACCGAACTCGATGTGAAAACTCGGTGCCCTACTGTAGGTACCCTAAAATAGCAGGTGTATGGATGTTTAATGATCTGGGTAAATTATAATAATTCACTAACCTGAATTAAGGCCATTTGGGGATGATTTCCCTTACAAACCATGATTTCCAGTGAGGTCGTAGTGAGGTCGTTATAATTTACCCAGAATGATGTATCCCCCCAAATATGGCAATATCATCAATCAATCAATATATATATATAATAGGTTTTGACGCACCCCATCTCATCCCCATATATTTTTCATGGATTGATTTAAGACAAATACACGAAAGGCAAGGCTTTTACCCCAAATTGATTGGACTTTAAGTGTAGATTTTCCTTTGAACCAGTTCTGGGATATATGATAACACCCTCTAAAATGGAAACAATAGAAATTACCACCGTTTCAGACTTTTAGACTTGACTTTTAATTTTCGATCTTATCTTGGGGTATACAATTTACCGACCAGCAGCACTTTTTTGGGATGCTCTCCCTACTCACCAGAAAGACACCATGTGCCATGCTCCAATCATGGAGAGCCGTTCGTAGGGTTGGAGAAATTTGGCCAATTATTGATGGGGCATCCTGTTGAATAAGCGCCATGCTTCTTTTCACGTCTTCGCAGCTTGGAAAAAACTCAGCATAAAGCCAACAAAATCCCATCCCCCTAATATTAAATACCCCCATTCACGAAGCCATGGTTTGGTATGGGATTTCTTCATTTCACGGAGTGAAAAGGGGTGTATTCAATATGGCACGGGGGCCCCGGGGTTGAAACATCTACCACTCCTCAAGGACTTGCGCTGATGTCAAGCACTTGATCTGGGAGCACAACCTGATCCATCAGGTAATATCCGGCATCAAATCCTCTCCACATTTGAGAAGCCTTTCGGCTATCCCAAAGTTCGCGAAGAAGACTTGGGAACTTGAAACTTGACACTGCATCGAATTTTGAAATGTACAGACTGTACAGACTGAGTTTTGCTGCGATCTTCTTGAAAGTCATACTTTAAATCCGGGGTTTGTCTTAGAATCGGAGCTTCAAAAAGTCCTATACTTTATCCTCCGACGGCTGAGACAAACCCAAGGCAAAACGGCTTGAGACAAAGCCAAGGCAAAACTCTCACAGGCTGACCATGTCTCCATAGCATTTCAGCACCAGCTGCTCTGCTGATTGCTGCCTTGTCAGCCTCCTGGTCTCAATTGTCTTGTCCTTTTCATCCTCAAAGTCCTCGACGCGAAGTTCATCGATCCTAAGCGGATCGATGGGTGGCCACGGATCGATGATGGGAGAATTTGGTGGCCCGAAATCACTAATGAAGCCTCAAACTTGGTCATGTTCAGTACCAAAGCAGGGTTCAGTGGCGCCATACCCAATTCAAACCCACCTCAACCAGCTGAGGTGAACAGGTCTCTTGCTTCAGATTGAAGTTAGGAGAAGGGTCTTCCCCCAGGGCGACTACCTAACTCATCTAACTAATCTTCCCAAGCATCACATCTGCGAAGTAGTTGGGCTGCTCTGCCACAGCCACAAGAAAGCTCTGCAGCCGTTCAGGATGCTTCTGCGCCCGCATCTCCCACGTCTCGTCGGGCCCCGGCAGCATGGCCAGCATGGCAAGGGCACTGCGAGCACTGCGAGCTGGTTT